GGCAGAGTAAAGCCACCATAAGCACCAAGTGAGATAATTTTTTGCTAAGACTCCTATTTCCTGAATCCTTTATTTTCCCTGTTTGAAAAAAATGATTTTAAATTCATGCGATAAATCTTAATATCATGTACTGAATGTTCAAAACAAAATAAATATTTAATGAATATTAATTGAAATGTTGTTTAAAAAATGAAACTCCCTAATCCCAAAGGATCTTTAGGTTGTACTGCTGACCCCGTTGTCTGACTTTCATGTTAATTCTCTAGCTTTACCTTGAATAAGCATGCATATCACAAGTTTTGACATCATTCTTACTTCACTTGGTGCCTGTATGGTGCATGCAGTGTCAGTGACTCAAAATATTTACCGTATATATTTGAGTATAAGCCGTCCCGAATATAAGCCGAGGTACCTAATTTTACCACAAAAAACTGGGAAAAAGTATTGACTCGAATATAGGCCGAGGGTGGGAAATGAGGCAGCTACTGGTAGATAGATACCAATAAAATTACATGAATATTTATTTAAAAGAAAAATAACCTAGCTCTGTAAGTGGAAAAGGGGGTACAGGGCTACATATCATGTACTACGGATCATTTAACCCATTCATATTAGCAGAGGATAATTGTAAATCTATTGTTCAGTGCATTCTATATGTAGTATATAGTACATGTACATATAGAGTGCCTGCAACAATACATTTACAATGATCCTCTGCTAACATGAATGGGTTAAATGATCCATAGTACAGGGCTACATACAGATCATTTAATACATTCATGTTAGTATAATTGTAAATGTATTGTCTGCACTGTATTAGCAGTATATACTCTATATAGAGTATATACTGCTAATACAGTGCAGACAATACATATATAATTGCTTAATGAATCTCTCTCTCTACCCCCCCCCCCCGCCCTCACTCACTGTGTCCGTGTGCCGGTGATCGATCATCACATCACGGAGAGAGCAGGGACGAGTCAGCGGCGCGCTGGTCCAGTGGGAGGAGCTCCAGGTGGGGTCCTAATTTAGCTGGCTCAGAGGTGCCTGCCCGCTAAATTACAACCCCACCTGGAGCTCCTCTCGCCTGATCAGCGCGCCGCTGACTCATCCCTGCTCCCCTGCCTGACTGGCCGCTGCGGGGGTTTTTTTCTTCTTCTTACTTACCTCGCCGAGCGTCGCGTCTGCTGCGGTGTGCGGCGCTCCGAGCGGGGTCATCTGGCAGTCTCCGGCCACCTAAATTAGGACCCGGAGACTGCCAGATGACCCCGCTCGGAGCGCCGCCCACCGGAGCAGCAGTGACGTGACGCTGCTGCTCAGGTAAGTAAGAAGAAACCTGACGCTGACTCGAGTATAAGCCGAGGGGGGCACTTTTCAGCAAAAAAAATGGGCTGAAAATCTGAGCTTATACTTGAGTATATACGGTAAACCAGTTTCACACAGCTAGTTATTTTAGAAGGAGGTTAATCATTTAAGATGCAAACTTTCAGGTCCTTATGTCTCTTCCTCAGGCATTACCAAGGAAGGGACAAAAAGCCCTGAAAGCTTGCATTTTTAATAACTGAAAGCGTATATAAAAAAAATGAATATATTGCAGTTTACCAATCCTTAAATGTGATAGCTGCATTTGTTTTTTTTAGCCCTTTTCCCTTTTTTTTCACCTAGTGATCCAGCCAGTAACTCTGTTATTTACAATTTCTTTTAACAGGATAAGCTGTCTAGCATAAGTGGCAGACAGAGGGTGCCCTTTAGCACCAACAGGAGTGCTTACAGCAGTTAGCTTTTACATAGTTAATCAGGTTGAGAAAAGACACAAGTCCATTAAGTTCAACCTAAAGACATAAGAAAAGAGGAAAAAAAAAAACTAAAACAGAACGCTATGCCCACAGTTACCCACAGTAGATCCAAAGTAAGGCAACCCCCCACACCCTAATAAAGCATAGTTCAATTTGCTCCAACAGGGGAAAAAATCCTTCCTGATCCCATAAGGCAATTGGATATCCCCTGGACCAACCAACAGTGTTTATTTTACTTATAAGAAGTTATTATCTAGTAATATTGGGTGCATTTAGGAATGCATTCAGATTTTTTTTAAACAGTTAACTGAGCTGGCTGTAACATTACCTGCAGTTTGAGGCATCTTCTACGCATGTTATTTTAAGCATTTGTGGATTACAAGCTGGTACTTTGGTTTATCCCTGTGGGGGGCTTTGAAACACCAAACTGAGCTCTGTTGCTATTACAAAGACCATATATTTGTAAACCTTCTTATGAATACATCAAAACACATCTCCCATATAACAAGCCAGGAAAACTGGCTTCAGAACACAAAAGCAGGACTCTGGTGCCTTGTACCTACTTCATACAGTGCTTTAAAAGCCTAGAAAGCCCCAGACCCCAGGACTCTCAAGTATTCTAAACATTTGCCTAGAAACCTCCACCACCCTCTTAAAACTCCCTATTGGTCTTTTAGATAACCTCAGTGTCCAAAAGATGAGACTGAAGGTGCCTGCTTTTGATTTATAAAGACAGTTTAGCTGGTTAGAGATGATGAGAGGTGCGTGTTGTTTTACTACATATTACTTTTGAGAACTTTAATGGGTATACTTTTAACATATTATAGTGCAACCAATAAAATGTCATATAATTCCTTCTGTAAAATAATGTATTGCAATTACATGACTTTATATAACAGGTAAACTATAATCTGTGACCTACTGTGGCTGAATATTATGAGCCTGCATAATACAATGCTATTTTATTTGAATTGGTTTATACATTAAGTTTACATATGCACTGTACTAACCATGTGCTCTCTTGTTTTGACATATTAACAATTTCTCTACAGGGGGCTTTTCCATGTCTGTTTCACCATTTATTAGAATTCTATTAAAATGTACACAATCATACACCTAAAAGTAGAATTTCCTGTAACAGGTAATTTTGTACACACTCCATGAAGTTGTTTAACTGCTGTCTTGAGGATCCTTGTTAATCACCCAAAAAAATGTTTGCAGCAATTAAAGAAAATGTTTTAAAAAATATCTTGCTAAAACAAGACCAATTTAGAGATGGCTAAATGTGTATGGCAAATAGTATACTTACAGTAAGTATGAAACTGATAAAATCAAGGTGAATATAAAAGTCTGCACCTTTGTTTATAACTGAACAGTACAGCAAAACCATTATTTGTGGGTATATATTTGACAAAGGATGCAATTGTTTCAATGCGAAGCCACTGAAAAACGTATTATTTGTCCCAAGGCATCTGCACATGTAGAAACCAAAACTATTATTTGGGGCACTGTTTTAAAATCCCTATTGAAAAGTTCTAGAAAAAGTCACAGCAAAACACATCATATTTGTGCATTGTGGCAACAATGGTAAAATGTCGGTTTCAAAGTGTTATTGCAACAGATTGTAATACACAATTGTCGCTGTAGAACCATTCATTTTGAATGACATCCCAATTCACCTTGCAGAAGCACCCCCATGCAAATGTGTTGCAGTGCATCATAGTGCACAGGTAAGGTGAATTTGATTGTGAGAGTTTTTGTTTTTTCATCTAGTAGATTAACAGTGATGCTATGTTGGCTGGTGCGAACCTCAAAGGTCCAGCCTATAAAAGAGCAATGCACAGCAGCTTATGGCTAATCCACTGGTAGAGAGGACAGTTAAGAATTATCAAGGCTTATCTCCTATGTAAGGGACTGAATGAAGATTTTGTAATGATATCCAGAGTTCATTGGCAAAACACTAGATAGATTCATCAATACTCATGGATACAGTTTACTACTTATAGTATTTACCACTGTATATGCTACAATAATCAGCAGAGAGTGAAAATAATTGTCTAGCAGGCATTTGTTGTGGTAGCTTAGTAACAGTCTGCACCAAGTGATGTGTTTGGATTATCATTTCCATAATTACAGTCATAGCTGTGAGCTTGCTTTCCAAAACAGTATAGTATTTTTTTATCAAAATATGGAATATTCATTTTGTGTTGAAATATAAATAAATATTTTATTACCATATTTTGCTGAAGAGAATGTTACCAGAGTTACAAAAAGAATGTTCTCTTGTTCCTGATGCAAATAGACACCCTTTCTATACAGTTACTGCGCAAGAAAGTAGTGGTTACTGTGGCGTCACACTCTTCTTTCTCCTGGATGGTACCATAAATAAAGGATCTAAAACCTCACACCCCTGCACAGTAACTGTGTCTCCTGATAGGTTCTTGTATTAAGTTACACAACTGTTAATATTAATGTACTGTGTGGAAAATGTAAAGCATATATTAATGTAAATGTAAATGGTGAGGGATTACTAGATTATTTTATCTGCTCTAAAAATATGTGTAAAGCTGTATTTAGATAATATATTGTTTGCAGCATTAGAGTCTTATCCATATTAAGCCTGGCAGTCGTCTGGAGAAGCTCTATTGTGGTCAAAGGTTAAAGAGCTTAGTATGAAATATCTACTTGGAAAACAAATATAAAAAAATCTCTGAAGAGAAAATCCTTTTACATTTATCTCCTTAATCCATTGCATTTTGGGTCAGCATTTTAGAATTTTTAAGAATATAGAAAACTACTGCAGGAAAATCTAACACATGAAAGCTTATGGGAAGATGACAATTCTGTGTTGGATGCCCAGTAAAACATTGTATTAAAACAGGCAACTTCCATGTGTACATACAACTTTCCCCACTCTTTTGATATCCTACTTAGCTGGCTGGACAGAGTGGCCATTATTATATAGTGATATAGAGAGAACAAATGGCCTCCGTTCAAGTCATACTGCATTTTTGGGTATCATCTTTATGCTCTTACAAAAAAACTTGGCTTCATAAGATATGGGTAGGAACTGCAGTCCAAAGCGTAAAGGGACCTTCAAAGACAAGCATTTGTAAAAGAAACTAGCAAAACTATATCACTGTTGTCCCAATGTAGACCTTACACAGATTTAGCATACAATTAGATTGAAAGGACAGCACATACCTTTTTAAAAATTCCATATATTCAGTGTGCTTGATTAGCCCTGTCCGCATCATTATAGTTTGAAAACATTGTCGATCTATTGCCCATAGTTTCACATTTGAAAGTGCTGCAAAAGAAAGAGAAAAAAAGTTATTTAATATTAAATCCAGGTTCATAATTAAAAAAAAATTTGAAAATACCCCTAAAAGATTTTAGCTCTTTTTAGTGCAGGTAGACAACAAATATGAATAAATGAAATAATATTAATGATTTATGAGGATGCAGATAGAATCTTTGGCCAAATCTAGGCACTGCATGACTCAGTCAAAACAATTACATGGTATGAAGGGACCTTTGTAAAAATACAAAGGGAAGTTTATCTAAACCCAAAAATAAAAATGTTATATTTTGCAGCTTACCAGATGTGGTTACATTAATTTCCTTTTTTAAAGCTAAGAACACTTTTAGCAAGTACAGTAACTACCTATTGCAAATAGCTAATGCAATGTCTTTGTCACTTCCTGTGAGCTAAACAGACAGCATGGACAATGTTAGCTCTCTTTTTTAAACTACTAGTCCCATCAATTTACCATGTCATGGAGAGTAACAAAGCCAGGCATGCTTGAATTTCAGCCTGTGTGACAACAATGGATCCTTCTATAGGTACCAAGAAGAAGTTGGTGTAAATATAAAGATACAGGAAGAATATTATTTACAGGATTGCAAGGTGAAAATAAAGGGAAAAAGTATGAAACCACAAAACTAATGCAGGCAGTACATCTGGTCAAGAATCAAGGACTGGTAAGTTACAATGTCTTACATTTTTGTTTTTGGGATTAGATACACTAAGTATGATGTGAACTGGTCTGTAAAAATCTTTGAGAATTCAACTGGCTGGTTAAATATAATTGATATGAATGTTTGCACAATCAAAGCTCTCCAGCCATGCCAGACATTATGGCTGGTATGCTGGGCTAGTATCTCAAAGAGGAAAGAGATTACTGCCTGATTTTTTTACGTTAAAATTGATGTAAGGAAACAAAATACAGAAACATCAAGCAATGTCGACAAACTCCTTCACTCTGTGAATTTCCTCAACAGGGTCAGTTTAAAATGTTGGATACTGATTTACTATTCTATTCATAAAACATTAATTTACTTGGCTGCCAAAGCTACTGTATGTCCAAAGTAATTTTTATTTTTTATAAACATTTGGATCTGAATTTTTTTTGTTCAGCTTTGTGCAAGATGTTCTCACTAACAACGAGTACTGAATCTTCAGCAGCAGGGAGCCTGCACACAGTTGGTTTCATCTTACACATTTGATTTACTTTTATATATGATTATACAGAGACACAAGCTAAAGATGGTGAGATGTGATCAGTGGCAGGAAATGACTCTCTATTTGTATGTGTATTGCTGTTTGAGATTGCACTGTGTATATAAACAACATTATATAAACAACATTATATACTCATGATGCCATGTCGCGATGCCATATACACAGATAATGCAGCCATTTGTGAACAGAAACACTATTCAAGAGTCTGGCAAAGACTCAGGTGGTGACTGCTCCCTACTGTATGTCCATTATCACCATGAACAAAAATACAAGAAAACCCCAAAGTATAAGGGAAAATGCAGTTTAATAGACTTTAAAAGCAAACTGCTCTAAATGTTTAGATATTGAAAATGTATTGTTGTACTGTAGCTTAAGGTCAGACTATGTTGTAACACACATTAAAGGAGCAACTAAGGTAAAGCACAGATGACATTCATAAAAGGCAATGATATGGATACATGTATTTTTGGATAATGTTACTGAGAGGTGTACATTTTATACCAGACACAACCAAGAACAAAGCCAAACTACTTGGAAGAAATGCCTTTTATTGTCTTCTCTGAGTACAAACAATTCTGTATTGAGGAGGGGTTTGGGGGAGACATTATTAAGGACATATTTATCAATAAACAGTTTATTGTTCTTGGAATTTAGTCACTCCCTATAAGAGACAATCTTCATGTCTCCATTGTACCTTTAATAATGCTTGTTTTAAAATGGCTCCATTTCAAATACTGCTTTCTAAAAGCCAAGAAAATGTATGAAACATTTTGGCCACTGCTGGAGAATAGGCATATTTTGGTTTTATTCTTTTATTGTTTTTTCTTCTCTCCAATTCAAGTGTTGAGATATGCAAGGTATACTAACCAAACCCAACCATGCTTGCTGCTACCATTTTGCCCACATTCTGATGTACATCTAACAGAATAGAATGGATTTTAATACATACGGACAGTTATTCTTGACATGTCTGTGAAGGTTCTCATTCATCCAGGTCATGGTATATCTGGAAAAAATAAGTCAAGGCAACTGGACTTGCTGTATTTTTCTTGAAGACGTTTCACTGGTGATTCGACCAGCTTTCTTAATACAGAATTGAGAAAGCTGGTCAGATGACCAGTGAAATGTCTTCAAGAAAAATACAGCAAGTCCGGTTGCCTTGAACTATTTTTTACAAATCGTTATTCTTGACAGCTTTAAATTTAACTGGAAGTTGGTAAAATACCAGTTTGTTAATGATCACATCTGGTTCACGCCAGGCTTGTTTATGACAATGTCTGAAATAAGAAGAGTCTGTGTTTTTCCAGAGGTTACTCAGATTCAACATTCCACTAAAAAGAAAAAACACCTGGACAAAAAGCATTTGAAAAATAACAATAGTTAATCAGTGTTGCTCCCTTAAGAGCCTCTTTTCAATGACAACTTCTGAGTCCACATATAAGCAGGGCCAAGATTTGTTGCTACTGACACATTGGGGTTGATTTACTAACCTTATAAACACGCCACGGACAAGTATACACCTCTGTAGTGTGTTCCCTCCCAGCATGATCTATTGGTGGAATCTAGACACCTTTGTAGTGTGCACACACCCAGCAGGTGTGTTGTGCAAAGCCAAGCATGAATTGCAAGGTGATGTTGTGTAAATTAGCTCTACATTGTGTTGCTTGCGTTGATGAATGCAGAAATGTAAATGCATGAGCTAACCATTTTTGTCTAAACTGTGAAGTAGCATTATATATGCATCATGTGCATGATTTTTCCATATATGGCATTAGTGGAAATATGCTTTTAGAGACTTTTTGGTTGATAAATACGTTTTGCTGTGTAAAAATCACACGCACCTAGTGCGTGCGTGTGTTTAGGTTAGTAAATCACCCCCATTGTATGTTTCTATAACAAGTACCTGTAACTTAATACACAGACTGAAGGAACCTACGATAGCGGAGGACAAATTTGCAATGTCATTTGTGACTAATGTAATAAATTACAGACAACGTGTTCTTATGCCTGAAGATCTGATACTTTAGTCTGCTCAGTAAATGTGAACAATGTAGTTTACAAGGGGAAGTAGCCTTCTGTGTAACTACACAAAGAAATCCCAAAGTAGTTTTGAATTTTTCTTTTAGAACGTGAAGAATATTAATTGTTAGGTTAGGCACAAATGCTACAGTTTTCAAAACACACTCAATCCACAGCCCTTGACAAGCTGCAAGACCTCTAGCATAGCATTAAACACCACTCTGCCACGCTTGGTTTGCAAACAGCTTTCATGGGTTTGACATTTGGGCTGCAAACTGCTCAGCAGGTTAAATAAAGGAACATTAATAAGGGCTGGAAGACATAAGGAACATGAAACTAATGCTCTTGCTAAATGTGCTTAACTGCATGCATGATATGTACCACTGTGATTTACCAGGCAGGGGCATGCATCACACAAATGCCAACATTTGTATGAATAATTAGGAGAATGTAGAGATGTTAAATAGCTAAATTAGCAATTTGTGAATGATAGGAAGCTTAAGCCATGCACATAAACATTTACTCTGGCATGTATTCAAATAAAAAATGTGTCCAGAGACTGTAGACACATGCGGCCTTATCACATACACCCATGAGTTACCCGTCCTTAGCCACCAATCAGCATCAAACCTGTTCTGAAAGTTTGAATCTGATTGACGGGAGTGGGAAAAGTAGTCTTAAGAACATAAGGCCATTAGAATATTTTATGAAATAATTGCCCAATTCTTTGATGCATTCTTTTGACATTTGTTTTCTTAAGGTGTCGTAATGTAAGGTCTGGTTTAATGCATCTTTAAAGAACCAAATCTGCTTATACTCTAAGCCTGATATTGACAACCCTAAATATTCATCTGTGTACTCATGAGTTGTATGAGGTTTTTGGAACTCTTGCATGGCAGGTGGATTAATCACTGATTTATCCAATTGTTCCATCTGTATTGCTGTTTAGAGGTCACAACATGTGCAAGGCTAATTTAAGATCTGATATTATCGTAAGCATTAAAGGAGAACTATGGGGTCAGTGTTTTTCCCCATAGTTCTCCTTAGCGTAACGGGAGGACACAAACTAGCGTCCTCCCGTTACCCTAAGCTCAGTATACCGCGAGCTACAGCTCGCGGTATACTGAGACGCCGGAGCAGATCCCGACTTAGACGACGGGATCCGCCCAGCTGCGTGAGTGACAGCTGGCTCTGCATATCTAGAGGTCGGAGCGGGGAGGGGGGAATCCAGCCCCCCCCCCCTGTCACGGCAGAAAGTTGTGACAGGATCGAGAGGTGAGCGAACCCGGAATGTGTTCGCTCACCTCCCGATCTACTGAGCTGACCTGTGACAGTCTCATTGTCACAGGTCGGCTAGAACTATGAGGTGAGTGAAAAGCACTCACCTCATAGTTCTCCTTTAAGCAAGGTTAAATAGACTTACCTAAAACCAAGAAACCATGCCCCCTACATGACCCATATCTCTGCTCTTTTACAGAGATGTGACTGTGATTTGAACATATACCATACAGACAAGGTGATTTCCATAATAAATAAGAATTCCAATCTGTGACACTTTTCTAAATACCTTTTATGGTGAACATTTTTTGTTGTTGTCCTGACTGTATTTGTTTTATCATGATGGGTTTATTTTTATGCAGCACCAACATATCTTTTTATTTTTTCATTTATGTTGAACCAGTGAACATTTAATCACAGTTTTCAGTTAAACATTTTCAACCTAATTTCCATAATGTATCAAAGCAGAACATGGTATGTTTAAAAAT